TAAAAACCTGAAAAAATCATATCTCACCCCTTTCAGTAACATGCATGCCCCTTTTATTTCTTGAAGATGATTTTTTTTTTTTTTGGTAATATTACTGTGTGAGAAATGTGTTTAAATCCACATTTCATGAGGCTTCATGTGCTTTTCTCAACAGACTGCAGAGTAGACTGGTCAGGACATGTGACTTGCAACAAAATAGAATATAAGCAACATTTCAGCCCTGACTCTATATGCTTCTTGCACAGTGTGTTAAACGAAAGTCATAATAGAATTTTCTTCTTTTCGACTGACATGGGAACATTTTACCATTGGTGTGCTGCAAAATAATATCAATCTCATAAATTAGGGGTTTTTTTTTGCTTATATTACTAATCAAGAACAAACAATTCTGAAAATTAAAGCAATCCTATTGTTATAAAAATACACTCAAGTGTTCTGCAGAGGGGTAGGGGAACTCATCTTGTCCTATCTTTTAAACAACCTTTTTTAAGGTTGCTTAAAAAGAAAAATTACTTATTACTACCAGGATTTTATTTTAGAGAGGATGTGTTCAACATTTCCATTCAAGTATAACATCAGTCATCTTATAAAGTCTTATTAAGGAGCTGTATAGTCTTTCTTTAGCTGATCAGATACAAACAGGTTAACTCCAACTTTTTTGAAGGTGATTCCAGTACACAAGTTCCTCAACATAACAGACTGTACTAAATGTTGTCAGTTTTGCTGAATGTCCTGCTAAAATCAACAACATACACTCCAACTAAATTTGGCACATTTCACTGTCCAGCTCCTCTAAGACGCTTCTAAGTAAACTGATAGGTGAGCTCTCAGGGGAAACCCTTCCTTTGACCCGTGCTACTCTTGTCCACCTCCACTGAGGAGAGCACCAGCTACTCCAGTTTGAGGTCATGAAATGTTCAAAACGTGAAACGTGATCTGATAGTCAAGTGCCATTAGTCCAAAGTCATGACTAGTCAATAAGTGCAGATTTTTTTAAAAGTCTCTTTGCATGAAAATTGTTTCAGTGCCACATAAACACTATTACAGACTGTCATTCCGTTACTATTGCTTGCTGTTGTTTTTTTACCAAGGCAGTACAAGGGCTGGGTCTTCCAAGTCAGCTTCCATTTGTAATAGAAAGTGACAATGCAAAAGAGAAATTTTTAGTGCACCACTTTTGTTCAGAAAAGTAAGGAAGTCTTGTTCCTATGAACAGAGCGTAAAGTTCTGCTTGCAGAACTTTAGACAGCTCTACCAAGCTGCTGGAAGCAATTATTTCACATTTATTTTTCTCCCAAAAGGACAACTCTTACAACCCTTTTTCACAAAACCAATTCATTTCCCGCCTTCAGCCTCCACATTCTTCAGCTGGGATACTCCTAGTTCAAGGCCTCTCAAAGTCAAACAGCTAGGAAAGATGAGCTAAGCACTCCTCGAGTTGCAGAGCAGCTGCACAAAAAGGAAAATTGGATTTTCAAGTGCCAGACAAGGAATACTTTTAACCTGCAAAACCATGAAAACAAGTTCTTGTGTAATATTAAAAGGCAGTTTTAATTCTTTCTGTGAAGAACTGAATTCTGACTCTTTTCAATGGGTTTTAATGTATTTCATAGGAGCGGGTGATCATTAACTTTGATATATTGCTGAGAGTTTCTGGCATAAGTTAACCACTTGTCTACATTTGTGCACTGAATTTAATCATAAAAGGAAATAAAATTCTTTCTACTTTATTAGCTAATTATAGAAGAATAAACAAATATTCTTACATAACTTCAATTCAACACGCTTCAAGTAGTTAAATAACATGCAGATTTGGCTTTTAACTGGATCTCCATTTTTCTAAGTCCAAGCACATACTGAGAAAGGTCATGCCCTGTAAGACTGTAATTCAAAATCAAAAGGTTCAAAATAATGTAGCTTTCTCTCCCACCTCTATACAAGTACTAAAAGGTTCCTGTCTAGTGGTTTGGTGGACTATCCTTTTCGATACTAGGCAGGTGACAGTAATGAGAAAAACAGAGAAATTGTTCTGACAGAGCAAGTTACACATTGGTACCTCTTTGAAGCACCTACAGCCATGAGCTTCTACCCCTTCAGGACCGATTATTTCCTACATCTTTTACACATTCTAGTTATTTCAGGGAAGAAAATGTAAAATTTTGTTCTTGAAGATGATTTTTTTTTTTTTTTGTTTTTTTTTTTGGGGTTTTTTTTTTTTTTTTTTTTTTTTGTTGTTGTTGTTTGTTTTGGTGTGTTGTTGTTTTTGTTTTTTTTTTTTTTTTTGGTTGGTTGGTTGCTTTTTTTTTCTTGTTGTTGTTTGTTTGCTTGTTTTGTTTGTTTGTTTTTGTTTTGTGGGTTTTTTAAAAATATTTTACACTGTTTTACACCATTAACTACACAGAACCTGATGATAAAGAATTACCAGGCGAATACATCGTTCTTATGCTAAACTGTTTTCAATCCTTTACCTTTGACCATTACTTTCCACACAGTTCTTGATCTACTACTGACCAGAATCATATGACAAAACAGAGCAAAAGATATGAGTACCACCTAACCTTCACAACTCTTAGCTTTTTTACTAGCCTGACAAAGTATTTGTGCTTTCCTTATTATACATTTAAATTCACAGTATGACTAACAGACTATTGACCAATGCCACATCTTTAACTATGACGTTACAACATTCATAAAATATGCTTGTGATGCAATATTACATATTTACTCAAGTAGGGCATGAACTTGAGGGGAGAGGATGTAAGAATTACTTGTTTGCACACAAGAAGGAGCTACTAGGATTGCAGCAGTGTGCCGAAACCCATCAGCAAACAAATCTCCTTCTACAGCTTCTACAAAAATAACATTGCTCTTTTTAAAATATATAAAGCAGTAGCTTTCATTCAGTGTGCCCTCAAAACTACCCCATAATCTGTGCATTTACATTGCTGTCTCTTCTTTTGCATTTCTACAATTAATTGCTCCAGTACAGTTCCCATACTGTTCCAGTATAGTTCCCATAGATCCTCCTTCTATTTCCTCCTGTTTAACTTGGACTAAAATATTCTGACCTCCACTAAATATCATTAACACTTCCATAGGAATGTTCTCCAGATATATACTGTCCACTACCAAAAAAAAAAAAAAAAGAAAAGCAACATTTTGGTTAAACTGTTTTCTCAAAACTTTCTGCTCAACAGCAAAGACACAAGAGGATGAGGGACCTGGAATCAGGGTCAATTAACTTAATGGTAGTTTCAGAAATTATACAGGGAGAGCAGGTCCTATTATTATGCTTTTTCAGATTACTGCTTTAAAAAGGTTCATCCTTTTTTAAAAAGGAGAATCAAAATTATGATTCATAAAAAAACAGAACTTGAGGTTTACGGCCTAGTATTACTTCTATTTAACTGCCAAAACTTCCTACAACCCTTTACAGAGACAGAATTGTGAACAAAGGATGTTAGACATTACAAAGCTTGTGTTTTGCATACCAGCTGCATCCTTTTCCATATTGGTAAGCACTACTGCTATTTTTCCCCAAATCTGAATTTTGTAATTATTATTTTTTTTTAGAATTATTTTGTCTTTTCAACTCAGAAGATTTTCTCTCATCTTGATTTAAAAAAAAAAACACAATACATTTTCAAGGAATGACATGATGCATAACTTTTATAAAATGGAACCAAAAGAAAAAAACAAATTATTATGATTTGAAACCTCTTTTTTTTTAAATGTGTCATGCATATTGCTGTTTTCCTGTATTGAAAAATACAAAATTTAGCAAACCGGAGATCCAGCTAAACATTTTTAATGAATAGCAATTAACACTTTGGTGGCTATCAGTAATGACTCAATGTTCCTTAGAAGAAAAAAATGCCAGTTCCTACTACAATTATTTTTAATCTATGTCATATATAGGGCACAACTTCAATCCCTGCAAACGGAAACGCGTAGGTGACCCCACCCTTGCAGAGACCCAGTCACCCGCACTCATCCAATTAGGTGACCATGCTGGAATATACTGATCTACAACAGACAACCAGAGTCGTGTTCTGTATTTCATCTTACCACAACACACTGACATAGTATTGAAAAAACGTCCACATAAATGTTCTAATTTAAATCTAACTAGAAGAAATCAAACCTGAAGTCACAATGAAATGCTCATTTCTGATTCTTGTAATTTCTCACATTTGCCTCTATATTCTGGCATTTTGTTAATTAACTTGTGTTTCCACTTTTTTTTTCCCCCCAATAGCAAATATTTCATTAACACTATTTTAGAGCAGATTTTTTTATTAGCATAAAGATATTAAAAATTGCAACAATGGAAAGACTATGTGGACTTTAAGAAACTGAGATTATAAACTCTCTCAGAGCCAAGCATCAGTAACACCTACTTTTAAAATCTATTTAGCTAAAGTTAATTGGTGCATTTATTTCACAGGAATGTGTTGAATCATATTGGAGAAGACAGCATTTTTTAAACTGTCATGAAATTTTAGATCAAACTACTTTCTTCTTGTCTTGACTGTTGGTTTTATGAGGTAATTAAGATAGAAGCTAAACTTCAGAAAGATAGGCATACCTCAAAGGGACACAGTGCCCTATCTCACAGTAATGAGTTATGGTTCTGCCAGTGACATGTCTCCGACTAAACTATTTGTGTCTTTGACATTTTGAGGCTTGCAAGTTGTCCCATGGTTGGGAAAAGTGGCTAGGTGGAAAACACCCAGTATTTTCTTCCCTTAGCTTTAGTTTAAGTACTACATAAGAGCTCTACAACTTAATCTCTATGCAGACTTTAAGATCTAATACTTCTTTCCCAATAAGCCTTAGGTGAGCATTACAGGCAAGCCCCTGGAGAATTAGATGATCTGTTACAAGGCAGAGAAAATTGATCTTAGGCTAAGAACTCAGGAGTGCGCAGAGGCTAATGACACAAACCCTCGGTCCGCACTGCACGGCACGAGAAGGCCGTCAGAATCAGTGTACTGTACCTTTCATCTTGTCCCAGATCCTCACTCTCTGGCATTTCAGATGGTAAGAGGAATTCTCTCTCTCTCTCCTCCAATCTAGATAATCCAGGCCACGATCTTCTAATCTGTTTTGTGTTTTAGAAGCAGCAGCCCAGGCACCTGTCCTGTCTGCTGCCGAGAAGAGCACTCCTTGCTCACAGAGCAAATGTTTACAAGACATCCTAAGTGCCTGCTGGTCTTGAATGAAGTTCAGAGCGTTCAGCTTTGATTGGTCAGGGCTATAAATAAACAAGTTGTGACTCACCTCATGCACTATGACAGGGTACCAAGCACAGCCAAAAGCACAACGGTTTTTTTTTTTTCCCCTTTCTTGTCATGTGAGGGAGAATCACCATCCAGTTAGTACATTTTATTTTTCTGCTTCCACTGGAAATCTCCCTCAACGTCTCCCACTTTTCCCAGGGGTAAGTGAGGAGCAACCAAAATGACAGGAAGCTAAATGACACAAACTTTACAGCAGTATGCTTAAAAACATAAGAGCAAAGAGCTTACTGGAACTGTAAAAATATCCTTTTTTTCCCTCCCCACAAAGTGTCAGTCACAAGGTGTCAGAACAAGCAAAAATATTCTCCATTAACTAAATTCACAGATGAAAAAACACCCTTAGCAATTCTTTTAAAGTAAGGAACGGGAAGATGAATTTTCAATAAAGATGAATGGCATGGACTTTAAGTTGTGATTCTAAGCTTGTATGCCCCAAGAAGACCGAGCTATCTTAGAATATCAGCAAATTGTACCGGAAGAGCCCTCAAAATGAAAGTATGCTAACAGGAGGAGGTTTTCTGCCAAAACAGCTTGAATGCTTCTGTGAACACCCTGTTCAGAGAGGTGAATCGACAAATTCACTTTCCTTCTCTGGCTTTTCACTGCGTGCATGACAGGGATTCTGTCACTCCAGCTACACTAGCTACATCTCTATTAATTTTCAACACCCCCGCAATCTTATCTGTGCTGATGTCATGCAGCCCAGGACTCCAGGGATCACATATGTATGTTGTTGAGCTCACTGCTCAGCCCTGCTCCTTCACAGGGCTTCCTTCCTCCATCGACCAGCTTGATCTATTCTTCTTAACATATTTTTCAATACATATTACATCCAGAGATCTTCATATAGAAATCTTTTTTTTTCTAGGAAGGAAACTTAGAATGGAATAGCCTGGGAATGTCACATCTTAAAAATAAATTTTAAAAATAAGCAAAGCTGGAACAAAAAGTATGTCAGATTAAAAACCAAGCACACCATATCTTTGATTTGGTAAACTGTATTTGGTGCATTGTGGGTAATGCATCATTTACTGGAAAGCTGCTTAACTTTCAAAACTACAAAGGATTTTATCCTTTCTTCTTATTTTAATATGAAATGCTTCAAAATGACTATTAAGATCTAGATAAAAATTGCAACAATTCCCCAAACTATATAATAATTTATATTTACTCTATGAATATCTGAATTAATAAAATTATCTTTATTTTGAGGAAACGGTGAGAAAACCAAACAAAACAGGAATGCTGCCTATCTGTGAATGACAACCTCCTTAACTCTTGTCCTAGCATTCCAGTTAGTTCCCTTTTCCTTTTCGCAATCTCATCTCATCTTTTGTATTCATACCTTTCCTTAGCCTTTCACAAGATATGTTCTTCCTGAGGCAGTTTAATCATACTGGACTTTTAAAAGAAAGAAGAGAGAAGAAAAACAGGAGTAAAGTCCTATGTCTAGATTATGGAAGACAATATATAAATATGTATTAATAAATGTCCTACCCTACTCAACAGAGATGTTCCATGGTCACCTATACCTGCATATTCCAATATCATCCTCTCTTTTTTATTTTATTTTTCTACTTCTTATAGCTGAAATAATTAGAGACTAATTTCCTTCAAGCTTACCTTGAAACAATGGAGCTGCTAAATTCAAAAATCTTAATTAATAAAAACATTTTATGCTACAGCTTCATTTTCAGATTAAAATTCTGAAGTCCTCTCGTTAGGAAAAGAATCAAAAAAAGTAACTGCAGTCTACATAAAAGCATCACACAAACTTTAAATGTAGCATCAAAAATGAAAACAGGCAAAACTGAACTCTGTGCAACTTGAGTTGCTCGCTTGTTTACATGCAATATAGTCTTACATAGCCACATCTTTTTACTATGTAAAATGCCTTCTTACAAAATTTTCCTTTTTAATCTGTTTCTTGACCACACCCAGGAGCTGAAAGGCTTTTAATATCACATCTATCCCTGCATCTCAGACTTGGAACTCAGATATACTCCAAACTCTTCAAGTACAGCTTTAGACTGGTCATTTCTTTGTCACACTCCATAGGCAGTGCTCACAACTACAGCAGAAAAATGTTTTTTATTCCCTTCTGCATTTCCTTAGAACTCTTCCCCAGCCATCAGTGAGGTAAGGAGGATTTACTTATTTACTTACAAACAAGTGATTGCTAACCTGGAAAGATTAGGTTCAAAAGTGTCTATTAGATGACTACCTAACTGAAATGTCAAGGACCTGTTAACTTGGAAGTAGAGCATTTATAAAACACTTTGGTACTCAAAGACTGGTTTATACTGATATCACTGCTCATCATTTTTGCAAATCAGACTTTCTAACAGCATGAGCACATAATTAGCCAAACCGCAAAACACTGAAGTATTTTGTTGAATATCACAAAGCAACTATGTACAAAATTAATCTCAATTTTTGATCATTCTGAATTCTTCTGCACCCCAGGGAATTGGAGCTTGTATGGGCCTATCCATAAGTTTCCAGGAAATTGGGCTCCAGGCCATTTCACAGCCGCACAAGATGGAATAACCTCTCCAAGTACACTTGGGTGGAAAAGCAGCAGGTAAGCAGCAGTACTATGCTCAATCAGGCCAAAGGGCTTCTGGCATCTCCTACTCTGTTCTGAAGTGCAGCCTAGGGAAAAATACATTGCTGCTTTCTCCAAGTAGTCTTCCAGACTCCAACTTGTTGCTCATGGGTTTCCTGAAACAGCAATAATGGCTATATTTTTAGGTCCAAGTGGACGTCCTTCCTGTGATAGCACCCATAACATCTTATGGCAAGGACTTCTGCAGCTTAACTACATACTGTTTAAAAGCAAAAAAAAAAAAAACAAAAACAAACAACCAAACCATCAAACCACCACTTCAACTGATTTCTAAGTAGTCTTATACTGGAACAGGTATATGACAGTTATATTTCTTTAGTTTTTCACAGCTATTTACCATTTTTGCAGACCTTTATCATATTCTCTTTGCTGGGACTGTAGAACTGAAAGGTGGAGCTCTCTAGAAAGAACTCGTCTGGTACTGGAATTGCTAAAAATCCATTTTATACCTCTTCCACATTGTCAAGGCTTAAGGCCAGGACTGTCCACTAGATCTATAACAGATACTCTTTGTTAACCCCTTTCCCTTTGCAAAGGGGATAAGAAAATGAATAAGGGAGAAAGACTTCTGGTTTAGAAAACTGAAACAGCTTTAATGACGACAGTAATAAAATGGAATATATACAAATATATACAAAACCGATATGGATGGAACTCAACCCCCCTGATGGCAATTATCTCACCATCACCACTGATACTGTGGAGCAGGCACAGGTGAAGTCCCTGACCGGACTCAGCAGCTGATGGGAATTCAAGAGCTGGATTCTGGAATGGGACTCAGGAACATACATACTGGGATTGAAGGCAGAATGCGGAGAGTCCTCCTTGGATACCAGTCTTGTTTTGCTGTATTGTTTCATGCATGTAACCTGTTGCACGCCTTCCAACATCCTCACTGTTCTTTTCCAAACTCCTCCTACATTTACTACAACCGACGCAGGGTGGGAGAGACCAGAAATGTACACCATTATCCCCAGTGAAGACATACTATTCCTTTTGACCCTTTTTGTGAGTTGTTCCTCAAACCCTGTTGGCCCTCATTATAACATATTTACACACAGCTTTTCAGAGTACATTGTTGTCATTATTTTATTTGGATAATTTTAAGAATCAGTCCTTACTTCTGGTCACCTCCATTGCCATGTTCTTCAATTAACCAGGCCTCTTCTAAACCTTTCTCAAAAACTCCTTGATAGCTAGCAAGTAATGGCTCTCTTTCCTGCTGGCACGCAGCTCAGACACCAGCCTGACATATTGCTTGATCAGGCAGTCTTACCAGTTTTGCCCTTGCTGAGTACAGATCTGGACTGAACATGTATCATAACTATCAAGTGAATGATAATTCCTTCCAAACAGTACACAAACATCTATGTGAAATTTTCCTTTTACAGGCATGCACCAAAGACTTCAGTTGAAGTCATCAGCAAAAGAAGGAAAATAAAAACTAAGTTCTTGCCAGTGACAAGGGCACAGCCTTATTCAGTAGCTGAGAGTACTGGAAATAGTGTCGGATGAACTGTTGCACACACTCAGATACTGAAGAAGCCAGCAGGTGAAAGACAGTGTTTTATCCATGTGGAGTGCAAGGAGGATGATCTGGCATTGCGTGGTAGAATGCGTACCCCACCCAGTCTGCAAGCTTTCAAAGATTTCAATTAGCCTGTGGCATGTTTTAGCTGGTCAACCGGCTCTAGACCTAGTCACAATCATTGCCACCTTCTATGCCTCTCCTCATCTAAAAGGAGAGAAAGATGTTGCCTTCAACATATAACCCTGTTCTAATTGTTCAGGCAGAACAAAGCACATGAATATGTATTTTTAAAGAATCATTAAAAAAATGAGGTTGAAAGCAAACTGATTATCAACAGACACCAAAAGCTAATTTGAATCAGCACAGTGAATTGTCACTGTGAGGTTCCAGTGTTTCATCATAAAGCACACATCTTGAACACACCATGATGTGTAAGAGTATTTCTGTTTTCAAACACAAGCAGAAAGAAGAGTTATAGGAAAGAAGAGACACTTCAACTGTAATTTAAAAAGCAAATGAGAACATTTACTAGCCAGATGAAGACAGCAAGATCCTGAAGGATTTGCGAAGAGCTGGAGACAGGGCAGTAGAAGATCTTACCACTAAGGGTGAAAATCTAAACTGCTGTACTGCTGTACTTTCTGGCCATGGGAATTTGTTAAACAGCTATAAAAGAAACAGATTTTGAAGGAAAAAATCCCTCCACCACATAATACAT